CTTTATCCTGGTCTTTTGAAGTTTATATGGACAATTTGCATTTATAGGCACGCATTGCTGCAGAACATGTGGAGAAAATTGCAGAGAAAGTGGGCGATACAGAAGTTTATAAGCAAGTCTCCTCGGTATGATATTAGTATTTTTCTTAGAGTTCCATCTGAATGGTGTCGCATTCCTTTACTTTAGTCGATGAAAGTCGTGAAGGACGAGATTGATAACATCACCGATGTTCGAATGTACAGCAGACCAGGTGAGAACATGGAAATCCAATGTTTCATTTGCTTTTCTTCGACTTCTTTCTTCGTTACGAGTGGAGTTGCATAACGCAAGAACGTATGAATAAGAAAAGAACCATTTAGCAAAAGTTTAGCGCTACTAAAATTTAGTGTTTCATCTGCTAGAGAAATTCTGTGTTTAAAGTCAGCGCTTACTGAGTAGTTTTGCCCTCTTCACCGTTGTCGATAACTCACTATCCGTGTTTTACATGTCTAGATTTTCCTCACCTTCCTTAGGAATCTGTAAGTTTGCTTCTCAGTTTACAAAGAATAGAGTATTCGGTGTTGAGCTACCCCCTTTTTGGAATATGCCACACATTCTCATTCGCCATTCGTTCACATTCGTTCAGAATCATTGCATTAACATTGGAGGTGGCTATTTAATGACATACCAAAGAGCTGTAGGCTACTCTATGTACAAGTCTGTGTTTTTACCACCGTAGGAAAAGTCTGGTACTGATATTGGCTGGCCTTTGGAGGGATGGGAAGTTTGGTTGACCTAGGCGGCGTACGGTCGAGGATTCGATCTCGCCACCGCCCTACGTAAATGTCTCTCCCAATTCTTTGTACTTCAGAGGTGCTGAAGAAACGAACAGAAGGATTTGCTGACGCGTTCGCAAACCGGACTGTAGAGGCGAATGAGTAAGTCGCATTTTCTGCTCGTGGAAACCTCTGGCGGCATTTACCGCTGCAGATGGTGACCTTTATTGAAGCTCTATCTTTCTCGATATCGAGTAATACCGGTAAGCTTACCAAACAATGTTGCAGGGATGCTACAGGGATCACGTTGCACAAAGAATCTCGTTGGTACGCTGGATGGAAGAAATTCTCAGAAGAGAACGTTTATTACAACAGTTCGTTTTAGTAGATTTACCTAAATTCCCCTTTTCTCTGATAATTGATTACTACCTTTCAGAGCTTCTCGACTGGAAGATCAGGTATGAAGAAAGTGATAACATTGCGGTTCGACTGGTACGCGGTGTCACAGAGCGAATAAGCAGCGTTTTTGGTGAGTACAATCGAGATGGGGGAAATGTAGCTACTTTTCTGTATACTTTGAACTCGTCAAATCTTTTTTTTTTCATTTTACCATGGGTCTGTATGCTATATTTCAAGGAGGCTTGTTCCCTCTGAAGTTGGAGGAGTCAGGGTTGCGCCACAAAACCCGCCACATTTCCGCGTTTCCATTTTCCACACAATGAGAGCAGTGAGACTTCTCAGATACAGCACGGCAGAGGGTTGATTAATGTTGGGTCCATGGCGAAACCCTGTCTCCCTCCTAGATATATGTAGGGTAGCATCGTGGGAGTGGGACGCGTTCTCTGCGAGAATATAGCCTATGTGTTTGATAGATGTTGAAAACATTTGTTAAGGCAGCCAGAATGAAGTGTCGGAAGTATTGACAGAGATAGCCAAGATAGATCCGTCGTTCGACAAAGCGGAGTGGCTACGGTTTTGTGAGAAAGAAGTTATACCAAACGTATTGGAAGCTTTCATACGTGGCGATTTAGAAGTGCTGCAGGATTGGTGTCATGAAAGAGTACGTTTATTGTCGATCTTTTGAATGTTTTTTTTTGAGTTTTGTTTGCAAGAGACCAAAGGTATATTGAGCGTTACCTATGCTTCAGAAGAATAGAAAAAGTTGGAGTAGGTAAATCAATGAAATCCCGAAATCCTCGTTAGCCATAATAGTTGTCTTTTTTATGCATTTTTGCTAGATGAACACTTCTTGCATGTACAAGTGCTTAGTATGTACTTGATCTTTCTCCGTGATTTGGGAAATCACAACCATAAAAAAGCTTACTAACTTACAACAACTTTCCGAATCTCCTCAAGTTTGAATCACCCTTCCGAATGGACTTTTTTAACTTTCCATTGCGTTAATTGCACTGACCTTTAAACTTTATAATCACCATGTAAATCGATTCGTTAGAGGTAAACCATTGTATGCCGAAACCTGAGTAGAACTGTAGTTGAGAATTTGTTCTTGTCTTTTTGGAAGATGTTGTCGAGTACTGTCGAGATTAAGCAGGATCATGGAATACTGTAAGATTGCAGGCCTTTGTTGCTTTGTCAACTGTCATCAAAGAGTACGCGAAGATCAAGTTCAGTACGAAGGATAGTCGCATTATCGACATTAGTAAAGTAGAGGTTGGTTGACGATTTTTCATCTATTTATTTCTTTTGTCACCGATTCACTCGATGATTCTCGTTTTCTGTTCCTGTTCGGTTTTTATGAGTATTGCATTTATTTTCAGATGGTATCTGGAAAGATGATGGAACAGGGTCCAGTGTTGATAATCACATTCCAAGCTTTTATGATCAACGTTGTAAGGAACAGTGAAGGCAAGGTTGTCGAAGGCGATCCGGTGAGTAATTACCATAAGTACTGGCTTAATGTATGCTTCGACTTCCTCATTTTTTACTTGGTTTGTTTCCAGTTGGTAAAACTAGTCGTTTATGTTTGTTGTGGAATGCTGAGGCGTGCGGCCGCCCAACACAAGGGTTTCAATTTCTACCAGATAGGAGCAGGGAGCTACTCAAAGCACAACAGTCATGTTGTTTGCCAGTGACTAATGGCCTGTCAGAATTTGCAATTTGAGCGCTTGCCACCAACTGCAATTTCCGCAATGGGCGCGATTCCCAGGATCTCTGAAATTGCTGGAACTGCTGGAATCGCAAAGCAGTTCTTTACGACCGAACATAAGCTGACTCTTCGCGGACTCATTCCACAACCGCGTTACTCCCACAGCCCTCCCTTAACCAATAATCCTGTCCCTAACCTGACCTGACCACCTTTACCCTAGCATCGGGATGGGTAGGGTTAGGTAAGGTTGGGTTGTTGTTTTCGTGTGAGGATGTTTCCGTCTGACATGCTGAATACTGAACACTCTGGGATTGCAATCTAATCTTACCAATTTATGTAGGACCCTCGATACCGAAGGGAATGAACAGCAAATCTAGCGCGAATACCTTACCTCACGTTTAACCACGTTGCTCCATATGCTGCCAACGCTAGAGCAAACCATCGTTTTTGTATCGTGTTTTTATGCTTCTTGTAACGCAGCTCATGCAGTAATGGCTGAGGACCCATCAATCACCAAATGGAGTAGTGTTTTTTTCTGTTTTCAAATGCGCAGAAAATATGCATTGTGGAGAAAGTTAAATTTTTTCAGTTCAAATTTCTCCTTTGTTAATAGTTCTAGCTTTTGATACATCAGAACCAAACTTGAGTTAAGCTCGGTCTTTGCAGAACACGCCAGTTCGGGTACATCACGTATGGGTAATGT